TGTATCTCGAGCTGCGGTATGTGTGTGTGTGTGTGTGTGTGTGTGTGTGTGTGTGTGTGTGTGTGTGTGTGTGTGACCTACCACTAACGTGCATGTGCCTTGTGCTTGCCTCCAAGTCCGTGCCCTTGTGGTACCTCTGTTTTCCGTGCTGTGTTTCTGTATCTCGAGCTGCGGTAGAATGGTAATGGGAATATACACAGGGACAGACCTTGGATGAGCACCTCCCACTCCCCACTTTTCCACGCAAGTGTTTCCTGTAGTTACTGTGTAGTATTTCCCTCCGCCTGCTTGGAATGCCGTTGGTTGCCTGGTTGAGATTGGAAGAGAGGTTGTGGGCGCCCTTGGGATATGGACTCGTAGGTTCTGTTTCATCGATAACAATCATTCTTCTCTTGGTTCCCCGATATGGATGACCTTCCACACCCCTCCGGATACCCATTTCATAGTTCTGTTTCATTGACCCATTCATTTTAACTTTTTAGTAAAACTATGTGAAAACAGGGGACCGGTACCCGGCATTCCGCTTCGAAGACAGGCCAGCCTCAAATGGTTGCAGATCGACATTCATCTCTTTCCCATATCCACCCGGAACGAACACGAATGGGAAATTCTAAACGAAGACCCGGAAATCAAAGTGGATGACTCCCTTTTTTTTATGTCGGATGGTGAGAGTGTCTTCTTGCAATCCTTGGCTCGTCTTCAATCCCAAGAGGAGTACGACAGAGCTGGAATGCGACCTTAAAGGAATGGCTCCGGTAAGAGAAATCATAAAAGAAGACGGTGCCCCTAGCTGAGTACACAGTGAAATTCAGATACAAGCCGGGCCTGCAGATGGAATACCCAAGCCCTGAGATCAGCAACAGGTGGAAAGACACTCTAAAATTCGTCTAAATCTGAATCCCTACTTCGAGTTCGTGATTCCTTGGAGGTATTTCCAAGCAGTATGTGTAATTTGACTAAGCTTCTTTTCCTTCGTTTTTTTTCTTTTTTTTTCCTTTTTTTTCTTTTTTTTCTTTTTTTTTCTTTTTTTTCTTTTTTTTCTTTTTCTTTTTGGACCATTTCCCGATTTATGCGTATTCCATCCTTGCGCAGGGGCTATGCCAATCTTCTTTCTCTGTACCGTTACAATTATAGCGGATGTCCCGAAGGACAATCTGACTAAGCTTCTCTCTGAAGAGTCTGAACTGTTGATCCAACCAACTAGGATTGAAGGATTCCCGAACTGCAGTGGGTCATAAACTTATGTAGCTCTACCTGTTAATCAGTCGCTGCGTGAGGAGAGAAAGTATTGGGATCTGGACAGCACAGATATATGTGCTCAGGAATTTGACAGAAGAGGTAGTCCACTGCCTGCCTGACAACCTGTACTGGGATAGCCTGGGTCTGGGACAGAATCAAGAAACTGCGGGTATACCTCTTTGCTTCCCCACCTCTCAAAACGTCCCACTGTTTCACTGATCGATATTCTACTACGATCAACCTCCCTCGCTTCCTGAAAAGCGGAAAGAAGACCTCGTTCCTTCTCCTCACAAAAAGTCACTCTCTGGGGCCATCTGGAAGAGAAGGTGTGTGCAGGCTATTGGCAAGGAACGCACGGAGGGGGGAAGAAGCTTGGTTCTCTCTGATCGGAATGATCGAGACGGAGACCAGATGCAGGGGGAAGAAAAGTCCATTAAACCTTTCTTACTGTCTGATTCAGTACAAGATCTTCATGTGGTCACTAGAGTGCATGCATTTCTGGGCTATGGGGACTCAGCACAGAGATCAAACTACAACTACATCCTCTCTTGAATTGTTTGAAAGCGCATCCACCATGTTGATCCTTACAATCAAATCCTTGGTGTGTGGAATTTGCAGCGGCCCAGCTACTCAGTGCATATTGTTTCGAGCTACAGCAAGCTGTGTGACATTGCCGGTTCACGACCCGCTTTTGGAGTGTCATACAATGCAGAAGGTGAGACGCTCCACAGTGTTCAACCCTCTCGGTTGTGTACTTCATATTACTTTCCATTAAAACGGTTTTCACCTTTGCAGAAGCAGATGCAGATCCCAGGTTTCGATCCCTAGATCTTACCTGCACCCGTGTACAGTATCGAGTAGACCCCTGTGTGTTTTGAGCCCGCGACCTGTGTTTTAGTAGTGACTGTTGTTTGCCGTAGGTCCCTGTAGCTGTAGGGGTTCGATCTGTAGATCTGTCAAGCAGGGGTTACAGCTGTGTAGAAATCGAAACTGCTAGGCTAGAAGTGTGTAGGCAAGTCGTAAGTCCAACTGCGTCGAGTCTGCAGTGCAACCCTGTTCAGTCAGCGGTACCGGTCCCAGTCACACTTAGTCCAGTCAAGCAAGTACCGTGTGGGACTGTGTGCACCAAGGGCCTGGTGGAAAGGGGCAGACCAGTGGCCAACAGAAGTATAAATCAAGAGGCAGCGTCCAGCAATTCATTCATTCTGTTGCAAACCAAGCGGAAGCGCTGCCAGTGCGTCTTGTGCGAGGTGGTCTGCAGAAGCCCGAAGCTGAAGCGGGCTGTGGGAGAGATAAAGCAGCCATAGCTCTAGTAGTGATAGGGTTAGCGAGCAGCCATAGCAGTGATAGGAAGTCATGTATATGAGTGTGCAGTGAGAGTGAATGTGCGTGGGATATCCAGGGAGATCCAGTGAAGTGTGCGTGTGGACAAGTTGAGAGGATACAGGGTGGCGAGGGGTGAAACAAGGGCTCACAGGGGCCATAGTTGCTTGAAGCGAGCCTGTATCTGAACTGTGTTCTCGCCTATAATATCTCTGAGCTTTGTGTGGGCGCCTGGCGCCAGAGTGATTTGCCATCTGTTTACATGCATGCGAAGTAGGAAGAAAGTGAGTCTGATTGCACCATAGGAATGGCAGCGAACTTCATCGGGTGCCGGCTGGCTTCCACCAAACGCAACCAACACACGGTCATCATTTATGTATCGATGGCAGGCGCGATTCAGTCATGATGAGGGGTGCATTGTGTGGAGGGGAGGATGGTAGTCACTCTGTTCCATGTTTCAGCAGATACGTTCGCTTCTCTTCAAAGCTAAAAGTCAGAACATATTTGAAGATAACTTTCCTGGTGCCTGGGGTACTCCCTCTGGCTCCCGGGAATGCCAGTCTGGGAATCGTACCCGGAAGGTCCCGATCAGATTCTGGGCAGCCTGAGGGCAAAATCAAAAGACTTCAGAAAATAAAAAATTATGGAAATAATTCCGAAGAATAACATGTTGTGTGAGAATCACAATGCAAACAACTTTTGGCTGACGGCCACCCCCAATTTCCCTATTGAATGGAAGTCAGTCCGTGCCAAAAAACAACGAACCGGCAAGTTCTCTGTTTTGGCTGGTCCGGCCAGCTGTTTAGTTCCAGTAGGCCCAGCCCCGAAAGTCGTGACGCGTTAACAGCCACATCGTAGAAGAAATAGCTGGGAAACGTACTGGTGCAGTCTGGCGGTTAAAAAAAAAAAAAAAAAAAAAAGATATGCATGCGGCCCATGATGCGGGGGAAATTCCCTTTGTTGAAGTTTAAAATTTGGGGCTTGAGACACGTAATACAACCGAAATGGTGATAACCCTTCCAAGTTTCATTTTTTTTCCCCTTCAAAATTTCAAAGAAAAGAGAACAAAGAATAAGAAGGCGGGACATCCGTTAAAATTGGAACGATACAGAGAAGATTAGCATAGCCCCTTTTTAAGAAAAAAACAAAGAATAAGAAGGCGGGGGGGTTCAGGCCTTTATACCACTTGTCCATCCCCTTTTCCAACTGACAGCGCCTGTGGGATTGTCTTCAGTCAAGCTGCCTGCTCTCGCAGGTCCTGCCTGGGTGTCGGATGGATCTCTTCGAAGTGCATGGAATCCATGGATGGTCCACATCGCTGCCAATCCTTTCATTGATTCTTCTTGCTCTGGAAGCCTATCTTATATTATCATCTGAATTTAAGTGAAGAACTTGTCTTTTGCTCTGAATGATCACACATTGCAGGAACTCGCAGGAGAGAGAGGGACGTCAGCAAAGTCCGGTGTGCCAGTCCTGAAGGTGGAGCTGGTGGGAAATAGGTTTCTGAGGAAGGTGCGTTATGTGCATCCGGAAGGAGCTCACAGGGCGCGTGAAAACACTCGTGAAAGTCGATTAGCCTGCTACAAATACGAGGGGGAAGGAGTCTGCGTTATGGCCAACAGAACGTCAAAATAAAGATATATGTGTTGCACCCTGTACGTGTATGCAGGGAGTACACGTACGTGCTCAAAAAACCGCATACGCGTACGTAAAATAAAAATAATTGAACAAAAAAAAAAAAACTGAAAAAAAGTATGTTATGCAAAATAATAATGCTAACAACTTTTGCCTGGGAGTCATGTTGGAGTACCCAACCAAACTCAATTTAAAAATCGAAAACTAAAAAAAAAAAAGTAATAGATTATATTATGGACCCAAGGATCCACAAAGTGATGATAAGGACTCGAATCAACAATGCAGTGTCAGCAAAGCATCAACAAGCAATGCACATCGAGATACATATGAAAATAGCATAATGTAGTGCAACGGAAGACACAAAGATATGACCTGACCTATCAAAGTCTGACGCGACATCCCATCATACAGCACACATGTGAGAGAGGGAGGGACCGCATACATGGAAGAAAGGTCCCTCCTTGCACACGCACATGGGGGAGATACCACAGATGAAGAGATGGGGGAGAGGCTGGACGAAGATGGAGGTGAGGGAGAAGACAAAGATCGCGATAGCGAAGTCCAAAAATAGTCTCCCTGCCGAATGTCCAATCTCCGCAAAAATGTCGAATCAGATGCTGGGCCTTATGCCCGATGTAACCTCTGCCTGTAACCTCTCTCTCTCTCTCTCTCTCTCTCTCTCTCTCTCTCTCTCTCTCTCTCTCT